AGAGGGAGAGACTAACCGCGACGACACGCAGGTTGATGACATAACTGTACCCACCACGACTCCGGTGGGCTTTTTTTTCATTTCGCCTGAGAACGTTACCAATAGACGTGCGTGATTGTAATTTTGGCAATGTCGAGAACTCGACGCAGGAAGTCTCTTTCTCTCTCTCTCTTTCTTTCTCTCCTCCTCTCGCTCGTCCTTATTGGAAACCGCATCGACATTAAATGTAATTTGCCAGCTTTTCGGATCTCTAGTCGCGGCGAGACGAATCAGCATCCGCCGCCGTTCTTTCAATCAAGCTAGGCCTTGTCTCGATTTCTGCGAATCCTACGATTCGTTAGCGATTTAACTTGTTGACGACTCTTGCGAAATCTACTCGGCCGAATAAGAATTCACCGGTCCAGGAATTTTATACGTCGTATAATTTTTTTTTTATGAACGATTCGAATATAGACACAAATAAAATATCGACGAAATCAAGTATCAAAATACTTATAAGAAGAACTTTTGCTAATACATCTGATCAAATACTTCAACACGCCTAAATTTATAATTTTGAAATTAAACGCATGCTACGTACAATTTTTATTATTTGCCATTTTTACTCAAATAAAAGTATCAGGTTTTTAAATACTGTTTTAAAGTACATAATAAATTTTTGTATTGATTCAAACTAGTCGACATTTAACGATAAAAAAATACATTGTTTCAATATTTAGTATGATATTACAACATAAATATTATGCTTTAATTTATAAGCATTAACTAGTTTGATTGATTGGTTAAAGTTTCATACTTTTAATCAAGCTTCATATATCATATTATAGATTAATGAGTCTAAATTTTCACTTTTTCAAATATTTAACAGGCTCATTATCAGCTCATTTATTTTGATAAGCAAATAAAATTCGACGAGAAATCATTAATCGCGTCAATAATAACGCTACATAATATATAATCGACCTTATTATGCATCATACATAAACTCAGGAATCTATGGATAATTCAGAGTCATTGATTCATAGATCAAACGATCGCACGCGGTCCTTGATCCTGATATTACGATCCCGACGATTAAACCTAGCATTTGCATTTTCACCGTGCGCACTCCGCGTGTACGCGCTCCAATCTGACACGTAGTTGCATAACGCACCGCGTATGATGATAGATTACGCAACTCTCGGCACCGCGGGCAGGTATCGCACACACAAGGTGCTCCGTAATATAGGCTCGCTTCATTATACCTCTAACGGATCGCAAAAGCTTGACGTAGCTGAGAAATTGAATCTTGCGAAGTCCACGAAAAATTTAAATAAACGGCGCTATTAACTCTGTGAGTAATAACTTAAAAACATAACTATTTTTGATATCGTAAGAAATTATTTGCTCACTAACTACAACTATTGAAAATTAAATTTTTTTTTCAAAATTATATAAGTACTTTTCTGATCATTTCTTTGCAAAGAAAATTTAAATACCTAGAATGTTAATTCTATTATCCTCTAAACACAATACATTTGTCTACTCGCAATGATACTTTATCTCATTTACAGACATAGCATCATAAACCTCAGAATTCTTTCTCGCTTTCCTTTATATTCTTCAGTACTTCCTCATTGTTTTCAATTTCCATAACTTTCCCCGACTTGAGGTTTCTGCGAGAAAATAATTGATTCAACCAGAAAGAAAGAAAACATTAGCCAATAGATTTAATAATCTTTTACGAATGCGGTTAAACTAAGAAAGGTTAATTCTTTTTTTCTTACAAAAAAATAAAATTGTAACAGCGTTTTCTCACTTCTTTCTTGCGAAATTTCGGCTTTCATCGCGTACTCTCTGTCTGCAGTGACCGATTCAATTCCCGGTTACTTACGTGCGTACGCACGCGAGCACCTCGTCAACGGTTAACTGTGTTTTCATTTCCTGTCAGGAACAAGAGAGGAAAAAAAGCGAAAGGCCGCCTTCAAACCGCGCACAACGCGGAATGCCCACGCCCTTCCGTCAGGAACGATCTCCCCTACCAATGGTCAGGTATGCAAACTCCGACTTACGTGTCGGCGGACGGACAGCCCTTCGCAATAAGGAAGCGCTCGTTATGATCGATCTCGCCAGACCCGACAATGCCCGGCAGATTATTCGGAATGAACATTACGATAGAGTCTCTCTCTCCTTTGAGTTGGCGTAAGTACCTTCTTCGATGACGGAGCCCATAAAGCTCAATTTAAGGTTCCGCATTTTATATTAAAGACTGAATGAAACGTTACAAAATATAAGAATATATCATTTTTTTCCTTATTATTTACTTTATTTAAGTTTTTATACTTTCGCGACATTTGTGATTAAGATTCTACCTTCATAAATAAATTTGTTATTTAATGTTATTACGTTATAAAATACGAAATGATAGATAAATGAAAAGCATATTAATACTGACAAGCATTATTTTATATAATAATTTTTAAATTAATTCTAAAAGTATGTGATAAATAATTTATTTTTTAAATGTACGACTCATCGCCTTTTCGCGTTTAAGCTCTACGCTTGCTGAATCTACAACTGGCTTTCCCGTATCTAACCAAGGAGGGAAAAATACATAGGAACGCAACGATTGGCGTTACAATGTACGCCGTCGAACGTTACGATTGCGATGATAACGTTAACTAGATGCCGAGGCGCTTCTCTATTTTGATAGAACGGAACATTCTCTTCCGAGAGAACCGCTCAGTCCCAAGCGGCGATTAATCATCAATATTAGATCTAACGTTCCGGTATGCGGCCAACGATTTATTGCGCGTATTCTCAACGAAAAAAAGGGACGGGAAAACACGAATTTTTCCGAGCTGATGCGCGCATATATACGAGAGTCCGCTAATCTACGAATATCAAATCAACGTCGAACATGCCTCGACGTTTCGCGATACATAATTCTTGCATTCATTCGAGATTACGTTGTAGGTATTGGCAATATGCGATTTGCAGAGCGACTTCCGGTGCGGCTGATGCTCTGACATTAAAAACTACCTACAGTAACGGTGAATGAATGAGATTTTGTAGGGAACGGAAAATGAATTTACTTTGATAATTGTCTAAAACTATCTCAAATTGAATTCACTCACTGATACAATGTGCAACAGCGGAGTGTTGTGTTCACCAGTTGATCTGTAATACAAAAATACAACCAGATTATAGCAGTGTTTAAAATAATTAACATTTCAAAAATAATTATTGCACATATTGAACTTTTAATGCGCCTTTTAAAAATAGATATACGCTACGCGCGCTATTTATTCTTTAGAGAGTTACAAACAAATATATATATTGTATTATAACTATACCTTTAATAACAATAATATTATAATATCACCATTACTTGTATATTATGCCATTATTATTGTCGCAATTACAGTACTATGTGTATAGTGTAGAATAATTCGAAAGTAAATAATCGGACCGCATTTCGAGCGAGCATGTACCCATATCAAATCAGTAGAGTTACGTCCTGAAAGGATTTAAACAAAGAATTCGGAAATGTATCAAGATTTTAAAAAAACACTTTGAATATTTTCTACAAAACAAAAAATACCTGCACTAACCGCAAGCCGTATAAATTATGTGTAAAATTTAATGAAAAACTACTTAAAAAAAAGAACCTATGTCGTTTGATTTCTCTTTTAAATGTAAAAGACTACTAAACTTAAATCACAAATCACAAATTTACTACGTAAAATAATTTATATTTTAAAAATAATTACTGGAAACATTGAAGTTTTTATTTATTTTTAAAGCAAATACTTAAAAGTATATAACAAATAATACAAAATACAATCCACTCAATTCTAAAGTAGAACAGTGTCCAATATTCATATCATAAAGATAAATTGACTTAAAATTAACTTGTTCTGGTCAGTTCTCTAGGCCATCAACGGATTCAGCACTGTTACAAAAAGTAGAACTTAAATTTAGGTTATGACCTCAAAACTTCAGCTGCATTAATTAGGGCAGGAATCGAATTTTAAAATTTGGGATCCAATTTTATAATTTTTATTTTCAAGATATTTAAAATATAATAATTATAAAAATTAAATTACATTGAGAGTAATTAATAATTCTAAATAATAAATATTGTAATTATTTTCATAAATATGCTAAAAGTATGCTTAAATATCTCAAATATTTTATAAGTATTATATTACATAATAATACAAAATGCTACGTGACTGGCGCGGAGGCAAACAATTCCTACAATATTCTACCTTCAAATAACAAAATGATACACTCTTTTATGATAAATTTATTTGTACTATGCATTACAATGAATGCATTACGTATCACAAACATTTCTCGCACAAATACAATTTTAAAATTTAAACTGATTACCGACAATTAAGGTATTACATTTCAAAGACTTTTACAGAAGTTATAATAATAAGTTCGCATTATATCACAAAACACAAAAAAATAACGAAACATAAAAATATATAAGATAAAAAAATTAATTATTTGAAATTAAATTGTTACATAATTGTCAATATTTTTATCCTTACAGAGAAGTTGATGATTATTTTATTAAATTATTTTAATTAATAAATTTATGAACCCAGTTTATCAATTTAAAACATAATATATAATAATATTCATAATTATAGTTAATATATTTAAGAAATGTAACTTAGTGTTCTATAAAGCATAGATTTATATAATCATATTCATAACTTTATGAACATAAATCAAATAATTATTTGTCAGGGCTATATATACTTGTATCCGTATATTCTTGTAGTATCCATCTTTAAATAAATTTCAATAATCAAAATCAGGACTGCTATTATTGCTGATTGCGATGCTACTTGAAGATCATCATTCCCGTCATCAATTTTTGGATAAATCTGTAAACACATTTATAATACATAAAAAATAAATTGTTTGATTTTTGCTGTGATCATTATATTGTATATATTTCATAAATTAAAGACAATTTGAAAAAAGTGAAAATTTAATTGCACATAACAATATTAACAATAATGTCAATAAAACTTACTGCTATTTTTTTATCCATTAGTTTAGTTTACTTGCTCAATGATGTTCATCTTTAATGTGGTCATCATAAATGAGTTACCACTAAATCCAGTGCATCAATGGATGTATATCTTATCCAAGCCCAATACTAATGTGACATGAAATGGTATCCTAGCAAGAGATAGGAGACTGTACAAAGGAAATAAAAAACAAAAAAATTTAAATGAGTTTTAGCAACAGATATGTTTCTGTGACGATTATTACAATCTGTTTCAAAATCATCATCTTTTGGTATATCTCCATAGCCAATTGTGAAATATATATTTTTTAAATTGTTTCTCAGAATGCAAGCGTATACATAATCTTCTAAACTTCCAGATAAAAATCAAATTTTTATCAAAATTCCAATGAGTTGGAGTATTCAAAACATATTTTTGATGATTCCTCATATAAACTTCTGTATCTTTCTTCAAAACTAAAAATTTCTTCATACATTTTTTTATATGTAAAGTCCAAAGTTGGACATTTCGAAAATAATAACAATCTTTTAATAACATAAACATTGTATCCATTTTAATCGATGAAACGTGTACTGACTAATCAACTGTGTCATGTGTTTCTTCCGTCGTATTTTTCCATTTATCCAAATGTCACTTTTATTCATGATCCAGAGGAGTTTCATTAGAAAGAAAAAAGTTGTTGTGACAAATATCACATTCCACCACAAAATTATTTTTTTTTTCACAATATTTCCATAGCCAATGATGAAATGTATGTTTTATTAACTCTTCTCTAGAATGCGAGTATAAGTGATCTTCTAAACATTCAGATAAAAATAAAACATTTTTGTTACAAATGATGCACATCAAAGTCATTGAGTTGAAATATTTAAAGTATGTTCTTGATGGTCCATGTAAACTTCGAAATTTTTCTTCAAGATTAAAAATTTTTTTATGCATTTCTTTAATATGTACCCAAAAATTGGATATCTCGATGCAACTATCTTTTAATGACATTGGGTCCATTTCAAATGATGAAACATGTTTCGATGAATTGACTGTGTTGTGTGTTTCTTGCATAATTTTCAATTTATCTGAATGCATCTTTTTTATATGAGAATCCAGATGACTGCATACAGAAAGAGACAAATTGTTGCAACAAATATTACATTTCACTATAAAGTCACCTCTTTGTGTGCAATATTTCCATGGCCAAACTCGATATATATAATAATTCTTTTGTTGCTCTTCAGAATGTGAATTCAAATGATCTTTTACACATTCAGATGTAGATAGAATATTTGCACAACAAATAACACATTGTGAATATAAGTTATTAAGATACTTAAAATACATCCATGGCCATTTCATCAATTTTCTTTCTTCTTCATATTTCCAAATTTCTGGATGTTGAGTTCCTACATGTCTCTGGAAATTTGTAGGGTTTGTATAATCGTATATATTTTCGCAAAACATGCACTGTGCTTCAAAATTCGGTAGCTGTACATAATATTTCCATATATGCTTTTTATTTGCAATACTTACAAGTGACATCGTGTCCGTTTGATGTAATGAGACTGATTCTGACGAATCAACTGTATTACATGTTTCTAGCATATTTTTTAATTTGTCCGAATGTATCCTTTTTATATGAGAATCCAGATAACTGCATATAGAAAGAAATAAGTTGTTATGACAAATATTACATTTCACCACAAAATCACTTCTTTTTGTGCAATATTTCCATGACCAATCGCGATTTACATAATTTTTTCGTTGTTTTTCAGAGTGCAATCTCAAGTGATTTTGTACAGATTGAGATTTAGACAGAACTTTTGCGTCACAAATAATACATTGTGAATAAAATTTATTAAGATACTTGAAACACATCCAATACCATTCCAGTTTTCGTTTTTCTTCGTATTTCCAAATTTCTTGATGTTGAGTTTCTATATGTCTTTGGAAGTTTATGGGGGTTATATAATCGTATCTATTTTCACAAAACTTGCATTGTGCTTTCAAATTCGGCAGTTTCATATAATAATCCCACACATTCATTCTAGTTGCAATACTTAAAGACATTGTGCCCGTTTCGAGTGACTGAAGCAACTAAATTCGATACAATAATCTTTCTCGTCGAAAAGTATAAGAGAACGAGAGAAATCGTTGACGCCACTGGGAACACTGAAATTTGTAAACGCTTACGCACGTGATTGTTTGCCGGCGACTTGGTTGCCAAGAGACTAGAAACAAAGTTGCTGCTGGTCTCTGCGACTTTATTTCTAGTTCCTTGGCAACCAAGTCGCCGGCAAACAATTAGCCTAGCTGACAATTATGAAAACATATGACGAAACACGACCGCGCATCTTGAAAATAACATTTCAGCGAAAAAGACGTTACCTTTACACGAATATACAGTTTTGTGAAAAATAATGCACAATTAATATATTATTTATATGTATGAAATAAAACTTCCAATTACTTCCAAATTATACTTGTATCAAAGAAATTGATATGGCTATAATCAAGAAAAACGCGTATTTTTCGAATTACTTATACTGCATTAAATGCAATCAATACTTTATATTGCCCGACAAAAACAGTACGTGAAATCAACGTTATCGCCATTTAACACAGTATCGTGGAATCCACATGGCTATTTGGGTGAATAATAAATTGGGTTGTTTTATTATTCACCCAAATTGATCTAATAAACTAATAATTTATAGGCGTCTATAAGCTATCCATTAAATTTTTTCGACCTGTATTTTACACTGGGTATAAAATAATAATTGTCTCGTTCAATACAAGTTTACCTCACGCGCGTGCCATTTAGTTTTTTAGTTACAAAAAATTATATATTATAATTATATGTTTAATAAAAATAATATTATAATATCATCGTTATTTATATATTATTATACCATCATTACTGTCTCAATTTGGATGCACTATATATAGCGTTATTTAATACAAGTGTTGTTCTCGTGTAAAAATGTGGAAAAATTAATTAAACTTGTAATTAGATTGTTACATAAATGTATATCGAAAATATATAATCGGATCGAATTTTGAGTGAGCATTTATATTAAATCAATAGAGTTGCGTCTTTGACATATTTGTTATTTTAAATGCTTAAATTTTTTATAATTTTTTTATTAGATATCTATTTCAAAAAACACATGGAAGATTTTCATTGTTGCCTTTTTTCCATAACGCTAATTGATTATCTCGATGCATGTGTGCGTTACTTTGTGCTATCGAGCGGTTGTTAAGGTTTGAAAAGGTTCTCTTTCTTAAAAAAGCATGGAAGATTTTCATTGTTGCTTTTTTTCCACAACGTTGATTGGTTATCTCGATGCAGATGTGCGTTGCTTCATGCTATCGAGCGGTTGTCAAGGTTTGAAAAAGTTAGTAGTTAAATTAAAAGAGAAATCAAACGACGTAGATCCTTTTGCTTAAATATTAATTTTTGACATACTTTAGAAAAGATTTACACAAAGAATTCGAAAATGTATCAAGATTCAAAGAAGATATTTTGAATATTTTCTATAAAACACAAAACAATATCTAATCTCGAACCGTATAAATCATATGTAAAAATTCCTTGAAAATTGCTCAAATTGAATATGGCGTTATTATGATAATTTTCGGTTTCTACGAAGAAAAATACATAAGAAAATGTAGGAATGAAACGATTCCCAAGCGGTCACAAAACCCCTTAAAAGTTGTACACTTCTTTTGTAATATTTATTTCGTATCGACATTGAAAGAGTCTGATGTAGGTTAAACGTTTATCAATACAATTTATATTTCAAATACATTTGCATGAACAAGCATTAACTCTTTTTAAATTTTGGATTTTGATCATTAATTATTTACCTTAAAGTTGCTCCGCTGGCACCCGATGCCTCCTTCTTTTTTGAGTGCTTATACATATTTACAAAATTCGCGAAATAATTAAATAATTTCGACCGCGGAATACTTTATACGATATATATAAATTTCGACACTCTGCGTCACGTTCGACATTACGTCACGTTCGACATTCCATGACGTCTAAAATAAAAATGAAAAAAAGTGATTAAAATTAGATGAAAATTTATAAAAAAGATTAAAATTTTTTACGCTAGTCGTCACGGCTATGCTACGCTTACACAACTTGAATGCGTTTTCTATACTTTTCTCACCCGAAAAATAATGTACAAAAGCGATTGGCAACAATTAGAGCTTTTTACTATCTCGTATTACAATGTAAATGCGAATATATGTAAACATTTATTGAAATTAAAATACGAGTTGTACACATACAAAACAGTGTTGTTTTAATTAATATAATTAAAATACACATTTTGGTATATAAAAAGCAATAGAAAATGTTTTTGTGGAAAAGAATACACAGTAAATTTTTTTTTCCCTGATGTATAAACGCAAGGGGTAACTCGCGTTAATTTCCAATTGTAATTTCAAAATGATTGTCCTTCCGCCGCGAGCGAATAAATCTTGCAACATGAATAACACCGTAGCACGTGAAAGCACCCCTTTCCCAGGAAAATACAAATAAGCCGATGAAAAAGGGAGATGAAGTTTGAAGGATTAAATGCCCCTCCATATGAAAATATATTATGTATAATGTAGACAGAAGGGAGGGAGTAGAATTCATTTTGATAACCATTAACCATCTGTTATTCTATGGTACTGAAAAATTATCCTGCGGTATATGAGATATATTGAATGTGAAAAAATTGAAAAAGTAGTAGTTTGTTTATTCTTCTCGGAGAATTTCCAAAAATTCTCATTTATCTTCGAATTAATTCAATGTTCAAGCTAACTTAATATATATATTTTTATTTCTATCTGCGTCGTACATCCAGGAAGAATATCTCGGCGCGTTCCGAATTACTCCGCGAGTCGGCTCCGAGCGACGTGTTATCGAGATCACGGCCGCTGATAATCGTTTCGAGTTCAGCATCCGACGGTGAGACTGAGTAAAAGAGAGGGAGAAAGAAAAGAAGAGAGAGAGAGAGAGAGAGAGAGAGAGAGAGAGAGAGAGAGAGAAGAGAGAGAGAGAGTGAGTGAGTGAGTGAGTGAGTGAGTGAGTGAGTGAGTGAGTGAGAGAGCGGTCTACATCGTGTCCACGGGGCGTGCACAGTTATCCGGATGATCCTGCAGGATCTCTTCTCCTCCTCGGCAGTGCATTACATACGTGCAATGCGCCGAGCGAGTGAGCGCGGATGTAGAAGAGTTACGTCAGATACAGGAAGAACTCGAAGAGATGCGCCGCGTAGCACAATCGTGGAAAAAGCGCGCGCTGCTTGGAAATGCACCGCGGATACGGATGTGTGTGCATATGAAAAGGTAGGAAAGGGCGCGTGTCTTCGTATGCAAATATGTATCTGAGTGTTTGTGTGTTCGCCGCGCCCCGTAGGCCACGTACACGCATGTGTATAAATCCGAGGGCGAGTGGACGCAAACGCGTGCGCCGAAAGTGACCCTCTCCTCTCGATTTCAGCGGTATTTCGACTTTGATAGGCTACTCCGCGATCGATGTATGAAGGAAATATGACGAGCATATGTGTAGGGAGGCAAATACGCTTTTTGTTCCGAGCGAAAGGTCGTTCCCAGCGGAGGGTCGAAGAAGAATATGAGAGACAGTCGATTGAGAGAAGCTTAAAGGATTAAATGCCTCTCCGTGTAATAATATATGAAATGTGATGTAAGCAGAAGGAGAGTAGAATTCATTCTTTTAACCGTTAACAATCTGGTATTGAAAAATTATCCTGCGGTATATGAAATATATTGAATGTGAAAAAATTGAAAAAGTAGTAGTTTGTTTATTCTTCTCGAAAAATTTCCAAAAATTCTCATTTATCTTCGAATTAACTCAATGTTCAAGCTAACTTAATATATATATTTTTATTTCTATCTTTAATCTAGAAAAATAATTACACACAAATTCTATAATCGTAGAATGCGTGGAACGAGTTCCTTTATTTCATTGATTTTATTATTTAACACATTTAAAAGATACTTTATTTTATTATTACGATTTATTTCATACCTGCCAAGCATTCTCCAACTGTGAGATACATAAGAAGTTGTGTGAAGGGATCGCTCATCAAGCATACGTAATGTCATGCGTGAAATATCAAGCATGAATTGAGTGATCCATTTTTATCTGATCTTTCAACTCGGTGAGTTCTCTGAAATGAATTATCTAAGGGCTTGCAAGAATCGCTGAAGCAAAAAAATAATGCTCCTTAGCTGTGTACTGAACTATATATAACGTTCTTTTGCCCCAAAAAAGGTCCAATCAGACATTATCTCCCCTCTTTCCCTATTGTGATTGGACCTTGTTCCCTTCACTAATTTGTCAGTTTCCATCACTTTTGTGGCATCTGAGGGGGAGCTCACTATACACAATTTGGAAGACAGCCTACATTATTGTATTGTATCGGCGATGACAGACCTTACAAAATTTATGGTCCCCTAAGTATTTATACTTACCCTCCTGTATAATCACAAAAAGAACCGATATTATCAAGAAATTGAATAACCGCTTTCAAATTTCACAATGACATGCTTGATGAGCGGTCACTTCACTCAGCTTGTTGTGTGTCTCGCACATGAAGAATGCTTTGTAAGGATGAAATAAAACGTAGAAAAAAAACGTAATAAAATGGATTCTCCAAAAGTGTCAGGTAAAAAAAGCAAGATGTCGAAACTCTCTCCACGCACAATACGATTTTAGAATTTACAATATGTAAGTATTTTTATGTATTAAAGATATACATAAAAATGTAAATATACATTATGTTAGATTTAACATTAAATAAAATCTAAGGTAAACGAAAATTTTTAGAAATTCTCCGAGAAGAACAAACAAACTACTATTATTATTCAATATATCATATACAGTTAATTTGATCTTTTAATAAATAATCGGATTTAAATAATCAGATTTAAATAGTCGGACTTAAATAATCGGATTTGATTGATAAAACAGAAACGTTTAAATTTATTAATAGAATAATTAAATTTGCAATACAAAAGTTTCTGCAACTCAAGAAATTTTTTTCTGTTTAATTTTTACCAATCAAATCAAATAACTAGAACTGTTTATAGATAAATAAGGCATGTGGGAGCGAATTTATTAAAATCAGGTAAAACACAAGCGTGCCTACGACACGTGCGTATTTCTCATACATTTATGTATGTCGAGCTTCTGCCCGGAGCCGAGCGACGCGTGCGCATAACGTAGAGACTTTGTCTGCGTCTCCATCTCGCTTCCGTTCCGGCTCGTCTTGCACGTAGCGGGATTCAACGATTTATACACGGATCTCTTGATCTTATGA